AAACATGCCTTTAGCTGACAGAGCAACTCACTTAGAGCAGAAATTGTACCAAAACTGTACAAAAAAAAAAAAAAAAAAAAAAATCTAAACATTTTGTGTTTTAGATTAAAAAAAATGCTCTACCTAGAACTCCTCAAGTGGTAAAGTTTTAGTTTCCCCTCGTTGAAATTATGTTTAAACACCCCTGCAAGCAAATTGTGCTATCCGATTATTAATCAATTAATTTAAAAAATAATCGACAGATAAATGATTTGCAAAATAATTGTTAGTTGCAGCCCTAGTTTGATTAATGTTGTTTATTCATTGTAGGGGAATAATTTCATTTACAATCTGGAAGGTTTTTCAGCATCTTGCTTGACTCTGCTACCTTTTTTGGAAGCTGCATTTGGTTCTTTTCTGACTGCTTACCACAACATCTGCAGTTTAACCAAGAAGAAACAGATTATTCTTAATTGTTTGCAGGTGTTCAGAAACTAAGTATAGGGTTTCCTTTTATTTTGAAAGTTTCACAGGATATTGAAATCATCAACTATTTTTTTACAGTTTGGTAAGTAAGAAAGTAGAAAAGCATGGGAGGTTATAGCAGTGATGAGGTAATGATGGGGAATCAGACTGTGCTAAATAGTTAGTCATTGTCTTTATCATAGGCCTTTAATAATTATTAGCTCCTTTTTTTATTTCAGGTTTCCCTCAAATAATCTAAAGACAGTGGCAGAATCAAGATTCTAAGTCTCCACAGGGATTATAGGTGATGATTTAGCTCAAAGTGGCAATATTCTCCTGCAATTATTTTTACCAGTCACCTTAAAATGTTTAGTCTCACTGTTTAGTAAATTTTTTTGCCTTCGAGTAGAGAAAAAGGGCTCCCAAAGTGAGAACAAAGCTCCTCTTTCAGTTCATTTGCACTAAGCGCTCACAGGACAGGAAACAGTGATTACAGCACGTTCCCATGCCCAAATACACTGTTACTTTGGTCACAAATTAACTATAATTACCTAAAAAAAGAGGATATTCAGTTTAATTTGAATCATTTTTATCAGCAGGAGCTCAAACTGACCTTGTGTTTCTACTATAAATTCTTGTTTCGATCCTTCCTCAGTAACAAGTGAAGATGCTTGTTTTCAGGGGTCTGAAAAACAATGGACTGGTGTCTCACAGAATTTGAACTGAACCTGAACCAGGCCTGAAACAGCAGGGATCTATGCCGTCTGTCTACGGTTAGATGTTGTCACCAATTGTTCAAAGTTTCCCTGCCGTGGTTAGGATTTTTTTTCTACCACTTTTAGGAGATATTTTGAAATGAGGTGTGTCTCCCAGCCAGGTTATTTACACTGGAGCCGAGGTTGGGTGAAATGACTGAGCTGTTTGTCAAACTGAAGGAACTTTCACCCAGCAACCTGTCAACAAAGCCAAACTGTTTGCAGGACCGAGTTGCATTGAGTTCAGAGAAACAGGAAGGTTAAAGATAGCTTGATTGTTTGTGTTACTGGCTCTCAAAATAACTGTTACCGCCGGCTCCATTACCCGTATATTTTTTGGAAAACTAATAATACTTTTTGAGTTTTGTGATACTTTCTGTGTTTAGTGACTGTCCACTGAAGTGTGTTTCATTGGAATTCAATTCAATTCATATGTGGCATTATCATTTAGTCAAAGGAGCTTTGTAACATATTTTCCTTCCAAAAAATAAAAAGTGTCTCTTTTCCTGAGTCACTACTTTTCCATGCAGTTCCTGTAACTTTCTATGGGTCGTATTTTATCAGCTTTAGAAACAGAGATTTAAAATTTAGTTCTTCTACAGTTCAATGGAGGGCATCTGCCAACATTAAATCTCAAATATTCCCACCAGTTATTGTGCCTCTGGCTGTATGTTAAAGGTTTTTTTCAATTTGTAAAGGTGTCAAACTGCATTCCTTGAGAGCTGTTGTCCAACGATTCTTTGATGTTCCCCAATTCCAACACACTTATATTGAATGAATCACCTTTTGAACTCAAGTTCTACATAGTCCTGCAAATGACCTTATTTTGAGTTTTTCAAGTTCAAGCATGTTTCCCTCAGGGGTTTCATCTATTTAGCTCAGTCTATCTTTCCAACAACTCTAAACAGATGCCCTGTCTCAGCTAAAGAAAAGCAGACCCATAGCACTATGCTGCCACCATTGTGCTTCGACATGTGGATGCGTGTTCAGGCTGATATGATTTTTTATTGGCAGATATAGAGTTTTGTATGTAGGCCAGCAAGTTGAACTTCCCCAAATTTAATGTAGAGGTGTGACAAAGGTTCAGACATTTTAAATACTCTGGTAATGTATATTTCAACATTCAACAAAAATAGGGATAGAGTAAAAAAATGATGCACAGATTGATTAGATCTTTGTGTATATGTCTCAATAGTTTTTTTTTTAAGGTTACCTAATGACCAAGATGATTAAGCAGATGGATGGAGAGCTGATAGAACCTCATAGAAGACCTTCATAGAAGGTCACTGCCTCTGACCTGGAAGATCAGTGTTTTTTCAAACAGAAAAAGAAAAGCTTCTTCCTCTCTGTACCCGGCAAATGTGGAAGAGAACAGCTTGTTTGAGGCGCAGCAGAATTAAGAGCAAACTGCAAGTTCTGCTGTTTTTTTTTTTAGTTATGGCTGATGTGTGAGGGGATGCCCAAACCCATTTCCACCCTCATGTTCAGCTTACTTACAGAGAAGCATTGTAAACCCACTGCTTGCAAAATGCTCCTTTCATAGCCGCTACAACAGTTTTTAGAAGGCGTCCCACTGGGCCTGCAGGCAGGTATGCAACTGAGTTGTCCTTGCAGCGAAGACGTCAGCGTTGGCCCCTCACATGCTAGTAGCAGTAGTTTGTCCTGCTTTAGGAGGACAGGGTCACCTTGTAGAAAAACCAGAGTCAGAGAGAGCAAGCACGAACAGACTTCAAGGTTAAGAATTCGATTGGAGTTGGTAACAAACTGCTGTTCATTTGGAAACACTTGTTTTTGTTTTATTATGATTATAAGTAAAGGTAGCAGGACCTGGAGCACAATACCAGAACATGTGTTAATGTTTGACCGGCAACACTAACTACAAGTCTTTTAACAGAATAACCTCTACCTTTGTGCCCCCTTTAGCTTTGTTTTTCTCTCTTCTATTTTTTTATTTATCTAATACTCTTTTTTTTTATCATGAGACACATTTTATTTTCATTCACAGATAATCTAAATGAAGACCAACATGATAATTTTGGTGATGACTTAATGTTAAAAGGAGAAAAATGTCTAGACCAGCCTGTCAATGTGTGTAACTGTAAAGTAACTGCTTTCCTTTTAAAATCATGTGTTATCCATGATAGTCACTATAGGTTAACCTTGCTTAACTAGCAGAATTAAGAAACCATTTTAAAAGAACCTGTCTGACTGCATGAAGAAGGGCTAAAGACCCTAAAAGCATTTTTGGACTCAGGTAAAACATAGCGAGATGCATTGAGACTTTCCGGCAGAGATCAGCGCACCAAAGCTACTCAGAAAGCTCAAAGTTTCTTCATTGCTTCAAAACCTAGATGATTTACTGTCAGTGATTTTACCACTTATGGTCTCTTGCTTAAAATCTGACGAATCAGTATTAGCCGTAAATAACAGACCTTTAGGGCCACCTGGAATCCTCAACAGAACAATCATCTAAAAGACTTCATCAAGTCTAGTTTTGAATGACTAAAAAGAACTACAAAATTTGAGTCTAAGTGAAACAATCAGTGAGGGGGCAAATTCTTCTTTTATGGTACTCTGACATACAACTACATTATCTGAAGCCCACATCCAGGGTATCCAACAGCAACAATCTTATCATTAGACAGGCAGACAGAAACAGACAACAAACATTGTGAAAAGGCTTTCACTTCTTTTGAAAATAAACATAGAGTCTGCTCGCCATAAACTGGTCAACAGCACTTTATGTAGTAGATATGACATATCAGATATAGGCAGTGCAAAGGACACAGAGAGGAAACTGGATTATTTAAATCTCCCCTTCTTTTTTTGGATAAGCTTCAGGCCAGGGCAGCGGTGAGGCTCTGCATGCTGCTAAAGATTTCAAGTGTAGCATTGTGCATTCAGGCAAACTGTACACACAGTTAAAACCAGAACTGCTATAATGCTAAAAGCTGTCTCCTGTAACATGTGAAAAAGCTGATCAGCTGTTTAGATAAGCATCACATTTAGATAATTACTATTTTACTTTTAGTATTTTTAGATTGTTTGATTGTTACTGTATTTTATTTGGCATAAAATGAAATTGTTTAAATTATTTTCAGTTTTGCTGGGTAATTTGACAGATGATTTTACATTTTACAGCAGTGGCACACTGTTTGACAAAAGAAGACTTCTTTATCTAGTGTATTAAGTTATTACACAGTAAACTGAATATTCTTTGGTAAATTCCTATAAACATCGTAACAGCTAAGCTTTAAAAGAGTAAAAATCATAAAATATATCAAAATATCAAATATTAGTTATATTAATCCGGTAAACTATATCTCCAAATTTAAACTCCAAGTCGTCTTCCAACCTTCTTGAATAATTTCATTTAAATTTCAAAGTCCTACTATTGTGCACATTGAAGCTATTTGTTTTTACACAGATCTTCTGTATTGATTTAATATCTTGTATTAAATTCCTTTGCATACTTTTTCTAAAAAAACAAAACAAAAAGATCTGCCAGAAATAAAATAGATAATTAGAAAAGCAAGTTGCTTCAAATATTAAAAATTGTTTCTAGTATGTGACACAAATGTGATGTGCATCGGAGTGAATCTGTGGATGATCCCGTATTTCATTAGTAGGAGTTATGAGCTTCATGTATTAAAGTAACCTGTAATGTAAAAGTTCCGTCCTAAATGACCTCTGCCCAAACTGAATTTATGCTGATAAAGTAGTCTTGTTAGTTATTCCATCAGTTTTTTTTTTTTTTCCCCCGTTCCTAATGTAAGATTTAGCTGAGATTGTGCTGAGATCTATCCTATTTTTGGACCAAAGCGTTTTTACTTTGGGGGTTCATCATTTCATTGAAATTAAGGTGTAGTCTTCAGTTTTGTCGTTAGAGGGCGCTAACGCTCTCCTACAACCCCCTGCCGCCGCTTATTGGCTCATCCTAGTTTTTGGCCACACCTTCTTTAGTAAAAATTCTTCCCAATTGGCTGCTGTAAACATCCATCACCCATCTGTCAAATTGGATTCATGCAAACTGTCAACAGCGAGTTGAATCCCCTGCAGAAGATCTTCTTATTCCACCGTAGGTTTGATATTTTTACTCCTAATATTTATAATGGCATTGAGTGTTTATTGCTAAGTGTTGATATTAAATATGCAATTTTGTGTCGGTGTTTACGTAACAATGGCAACCCAATGGCTGTTTAGGTTGGCGAATTAACGGCTACAGGAATGCTAACGCAAGCTAATAGCAGCTAACATATGTCGTCGTGGATGTTAGCTCGAGACAACTTCTTCCAAAAAAAAAGTGACATCTTAACTGGTTATCATAGGATTAAACGTATGTTTTCATTATTTTTATTTCTGCACCCAAACATTCGCATGAGAAGTCAGATTGGGTTCGCAACGTAAATTAAAGTATTTCTGACTGCATTCCATGGACGATTGCTGTGTGAATAACCATATTTTAAGATTTCACAGTCACCGTGGCGTTATTGTTTTTAGACAGGTGAACGTGTTGGCCCTGTTCCTTCCTGTTAAAGCATCATGAGCGGCCAGATAAACAGTGTATTTACCCTTTAACTTTGTAATATTTTACTTTGACGAAACTGAACAAAAGAACGTTCAGGTTACGTTTGGTTGTTACTCGTGAGAAGTATTTGGTTTATTAAAATATTATGTACATGTAATATATATTCAACAATCCGTTACTGTAGAGGTCTCCCAGCCCTGGGAGCACACCTGATTCACTGCATTGATTGACCTCTTGCTTTCATCAGGCAGCTGTAGAAGGCTGTTGGGCATCCATTCATTTAAAGGAATAGTACACCCAAAACATGATTAGCCTTCATTTTCTACTCACCCCCATGCTGAACAACACTCTGGAGTACTTTTTTG